ACTGTTAATAGCTTCATCCTCCTTGGATCCACAATTAACACCTTGCTACCAGCAATAGTAAATAAGGAGATGTATTGCACTGGGAAAATCCGCAGTTAGGGACCTCTCCAAATTATTGAGGAGTAAGGATATCAGTTTGAAGACTAAGGTATGTCTGATTCAGGCCTTAGTTTTTCCAGTTACTTGCTATGCATCTAAGAGCTGGACAATGAATAAGGATGACAGGAAAAGAATTGATGCCTTTAAGCTGTGGTGTTGGAGAAAAGCTCTGAAAAGCCCATGGACGGCACAGGATAGAACAAGGTTCATATCTTTTGTTCACAGGGTCGCTATGAGTCGTTCGGGATGGCACCCGACAACATGGGATCATCACTCAGATCAAGGAACTAAATACCCAGTGCCCCGAGTCTCTCAATTCCTGCCTTTTTTAGCTACAACTTTCAAAGTAACCCTTTTCCTGTATCTCAATTCTCATGTATTTAAGTTTTTATATGATTTTGAACTTTTCATTTTAAAAAGAACCCATAATCCATTGCTGTCAGATCAGGTCCTACTCATAACTGACCCTCCAGGGAGTTTTCAAAGCTTTATATTGCACTGAAGGAGATTGCCCATGTTTCTCCTGTGGAGCAGCTAGTAGATTAGAACTGCCAGAGAGGCATCACTGCCTCTGAGTCAGCTGCACAGCTCCCTATGGCCTACACCATCAGAGCTTCCTTCTTTTCATAAAGAGAATCATAATATGTATACCTTTCTATCTGGAGTCCTTTAATATACTTTTAAGAATAATTTATTACATGTGATAGTAGTTAATTTTTTTAGACTGTAATCTTCAATTTTGTGAGTATATTTATTAATTACAATTTTTATGTACAATTTATTATTTCTATCATTGATGGATTTTAGGGGAGTTTCCTGTTTTCGATATTACAAATGAATAATGTGTGTGTGTGTGTGTGTGTGTGTGTCTGTCTGTACACACACACACACAGGTACACTATAACTCAACATACCATGGACTGCCAAGAAAACAAATAGCTCTGTCTTGGAGAAGGTGAAACCAAGTTTCCTCTTGGAGACTAGGATTTTGAGGCTGTCTCACATACATGACCAGGAGGATCTGGTCCTTGGAGAAGGACATCATGCTTGGACAGAGCACAGTAACTGGGCAGTGGGATACGTGTGTTAGAGTCGGTGAGATTGACTCAGGACAGGGCAGGCTACAGAGCTATTGTGCATAGGGTCGCTAGGAGTCACAGGTGACTCGATAGTGCACAACAACAATATATGGGTACCATATATGTGTATATATACCAGTATACATATATGTATGTATATTTTTTTTGTTTATTTTATTTTATTTTTTTGTTTTTGTTTTTTTTTATATGTATGTATATTGTTGTGTACTGTCAAGTTGGAACTGACCCATAGCTGACTCTCCAGTTTTCAGAGGCAGTTAATTGCATGGGAGGATGAGAGGAGCTTGCCCATCCTTTTCCTGTGACCTTGAACCACATGCCTGTGGGATTGCAGTGCAGCTTCTTTCCAGATATATATACACATACATATACATACATACATACATACATATGTATATACACATATGTATGTACCTACATATATACATATACGTACGTGTGTGTGTGTGTGTGTGTGTGTGTGTGTATCTCTCTCTGCTGGCTTATTGTTTTGTGCCATAAAGTCATAACTGACTCATAGCTGACTATCAGATTTTCAGAGTCAGTTAATTGCATGGAAGGAGATTTCCCTTCCTTTTCCCATGGAGCAGCTGCTGGATTTGAACTATTTACTTCTGGTTTAGCCATCTGGTGGCTTAGTGGTAAGAAATTGCACTGCCTACACAAAGGTTTAGGATTTGAATCCACCAGCTGATCTTTGGTGAGTAAAAGATGAGAAATCCTCCTTCCATGCAGTTTACTGCATCTGAAAACCCACTGTGGAATTGATGTATAATGAATGAATGTTGTTTAGCTACGACTGCTTCCTTTGTCCATATGATTTTGAGGAAGAATATTGTTAGCCACATTTATTGAAATAAGATATTGTGGCTTAATTTTTAGATGTGCTATATCTTATTTATTTGAGATTATGAGGTTAAAATTTTCATATCTAGAATCAAGGATCTTGGAAATAGTTTTCATTATATTGGTTAGAAAGTTCCTGTTAAAAAGGAGTGACTTTTTCTAATGTTTCTTCATTTTATAAAGTTGTTGTTGTTATGTGCCATCGAGTCGCTTGTGACTCATAGCAACCCTATGTACAACAGCCCTAAACTCTGCTCTGTCCTGTGCCAATCGCACTGTCTCTGACACTCCCATCCTGATTATCCCAGTCACTGAATCAATCCACCTCATAGAGGGCCTTCCCCTCGTGCGCTGTCCCTCCACCCTCCCAAGCATGATGTCCTTCTCCAAGGACCGGTCTCTCCTCACAACATGTCCAAAGTATGTTAGATGGAGCCTCAGAATCCTTGCCTCCAAGGAGCCACCTGGTTTAACCCTTTCTAGGACGAATTTGTTTGTTTCCCTAGCAGTCCATGGTATTCTCAATACTCTTCTCCAGCACCACAGCTCAAAGGCATCAATTCTCCTTCTATGTTCCTTGGTCATTGTCCAACTCTCTGATGCATAACAAGTGATTGTGAAGACCATGGCCTGTATCAAATGCACCTTAGTCTCCAGAGAGACACCATTGCTCTTCAGTACTTTGGAGAGGTCCCTAACAGCAGACTTTCCCATGGCAATGCGCCTTTTAATTTCCTGGCTACTGGTGCCAAGAGTGTTGTCTGTGGAGCCAAGCAAACTAAAGCTGTGTACAATCTCAATCTCTTCACCATCCATCCTGATGCTGCCAATTGGTCCAGTGGTGAGAATCTTTGTCTTCTTAAAGAGAATCTTTTTTTACATTTCTTTTTCTATTTAGATGTAAGTTGAGTGCAATATGTGAAATGTCTGAGCTACATGAGCACACATATCTGAGCAAAATAAAATAGCTGCATATGATTTGATAGTGTCACTAAGTAATGTAGATTGAATGTCAGCATGGTTTGCTTTATCTGAACTTTTTTTAATCAATAGTTGTTTATCTTATAAAACTGTCCACTCAAGACAAAATATATTCCTACTTGTTTGTTACCATTATTGATTTATGTTTTTTTGAAAGGTGATGAAAAAAATACCATCTTTTCTAAAGAATCATTCAAACCTATGGAGACTCAACAAGAAGAGAAAACAGAGAGGGGAGACTGTACACAGTTATTTCTGGGAGGTGATAATGAACTAAGAGAAGAAGCAGAGAATGAAGAACAACCAAATGTAAAAGATAAACTTTAAATATGATTCTTTTAAGGTGAAATGTAGTACTAGTCAATCCTAATCATTATGTTTTGCTAAGAACAAGTTTTTTTCTGTAATGATAGTTTTAAAATTTTTCTTGAAAAGTAACAATATGAAAGAGAACCCTCGTTTAAGAGTAGTAACTAAACTTCATCACTCAGGAACAGCAAATTGCATTTTTTTTTAAAATGCATTTATTTTTAAATGAGTATATTTTCATTATTTTGAATACAACTTGTGAGTTTATTATTTTCTGTATATTGTTAAACATAGAGAGCATGTACATAACATTAAAAGCAATGAAAATCTTTTATGGAATAAAAAAAAATAATATGAAGATTTTAAGTTTTTGATAGTACTTTTGATACCAAATAAATTTTGTCTAGTTATTTGGAAGTAGTAGTAGTTGTTGTTGTGTGCAGTCAAGTTGGAACCGACCCATAGTTGACCCTCCAGTGGGTTTTCAGAGGTAGTAATCCCACTGGAGATTTCCCCATTTCCCCACCCTCCTGTGGAGCCACTGATGAATTAGAACTGCATGCAGCACAGATTCTTACCACTAGGGCATCAGGGCACTTTTGGGAAGTGTTTTATATTTTTTTGTTATTTATAAAAGTAATACATGGCCTAATAAGTTCTCTCTTGCCTACATATATTGTTATAGTAGCTGCATAGCTTTCTATGAAGAGAAGAACTACAAAGTATATATAAGAGAATATTGGAGAATAACCATTGTAGAAAATAGCAAATACACACATGTTCAATATTAAGTATCTTCCTAGGAGTGCACTTTTAACATTCTTTGTAAAAGGTAAGGTGAAGTTTGTTTTTCCTCTGTACAGACTGAACAGGAGTCATCACTAGACAACTTGATTTTAATAGAAGATCATGACTCGTTAATAGAAAAGATGAGCAACTGGAATTTTCAAATTTTTGAACTTGCAGAAAAGATGGGTGATAAATCAGGAAGAATTCTCAGTCAGGTATGTTTAAAGTCACTTTTTATAGTTCTAGAATTTTTTTAAAGTAAAATAAGCTAAACCTAGAATGTTACAACATTTATTTAGGCACCAATTAAACATTATTTATTGAGTTATTATCTCTGGAGGCTAGTGGCAAGAAGCTGCGCTGTAATCTTAAAGGCATGTGGTTCAAGGCCACCAGCTGCTCTGTGGAAGAAGGCTGGGCAATCTCCTCCCATGTGATTTACTGCCTCTGAAAACCTGCTGGAAGGTCAGCTATGGGTCAATTCCAACTCTACTGTACACAACATCAACAACAACATCCAGAAATTCAGCATCGTTAGAAATTTGACTCAAAGGTCTTCCTAATGTGTTTGGCATAACGACATCCCAAACTGTCATGCTCTCGCTCTCTAATTCTGTTGTTGTTGTTGTGTACCGTAGAGTCGGAACTGACTCATAGCTGACCCTCCGGCAAGTTTTCAGAGGCAGGTACTTGTACAGGAGGAGACTGTCCATGGAGCAGGTGGTGGCCTCGAACTGAATGCCTTTGGGATTGCAGCACAGCTTCTTGCCCCTAGGCCATCAGAGATCCCTTTAATGTCTTATTAAATGCAAGAACATAAGGACAAATAATCTAAAAAGATTTATATGTTTATCTCAGTGAAGTCTCTAAAAATTTTTATTTTAATTTAACATTTCATTCACTCATTGCTGTGGAGTTAGAGTCAAGTCGCAGCTGACCTGCCAGCAGATTTTCAGAGGCTGTAAGTTGCACAGGAGAAGACAGCATCTTTTTTTTCTTATGGGACATTTGGTAGATCCAGACTGGTAGAGAAGCATGGCCTTTGGGTTAGCAGGACAACTCCCTACAGAATATGCCCCCAGAACTCCCACTTAGCACTAAAATAATACAGAATCACTCACTAGGCAATCGTAAACTATTACATGAAATATTTTTATATTGGAACAGGATGCTCTATAAGTTTTCTTTTATTTTTAAGTGCTTTAAGTATGATGGAAAGAATTCATAGTAGGGGTGTTTTTAATAAATTAACTTTATTACATACACTGACTTAACTTTCTAATTGTATATCACAAAAGCCTACTCAGCCACAATTGGAAATTCTCATTTTATAAAGTGAACTTTATTTGAATTGATATTTAGGTTATGTATACTTTATTTCAAGACACTGGCTTATTGGAAATATTTGAAATCCCCACTCAACAATTCATGAACTATTTTCATGCATTAGAAAATGGCTATCGAGACATTCCATGTAAGTATGAACATATCTTTTTACCTATGTTCAAATGATACTTGTTTGATTCTATTCTTTTTATCTTTAGATAATTGCTTAAATGAAGTTTTAACTATGAATTTAGAAAATTTAAAAATTTGAAAGAAAATTTGCATTCCACCACTTCCAGTTAACTGTTGTTAACGTTTTGGCATAAACCTTCTGAAATTGTTTTCTTATATAAATTTATTAATCATTAAGTGGATCATAATAGTAGTAATAGACCGAATTATAAACTGTTATTTTAATTTGTGTTATATACTACACATCTATCTATGTAAATGATAAGTCACTCAAGTCAATTAAATTATCTTTTTACATATTTGGTAATACTAAATCAAGAGTTTCAGGTAATTCTTTATAATTTTTTTGAATAGTCATTTCTTACAGTTTGTATACTTTGTGTTTCACACTTTTCTTCATTTACACTGTTTCATACAGTCATTTCCATGTGTTAAGTTTTATAAAATTAATCACCAGTAGACTTAATGTCCATCATTACCCTGTCTTTTCAGATCCCTACTGGATCTTTCCCATTTCCTTTACCTCCTCCCTTCATCCACCAAATTGTGCAACCCTGTGATTTTGCCCCTACCCCTCCTCACCACTCTGCTCCCACCCCTTCCCTCCTTGAGTCCTCACACATGTTTTACTAGTTACCCGTCTATTTTTACAATAATGGTCTTACGCGATATTTGTCATGAGACTGAGTTCACTCAGCATAAAGCAGATATTCACTGGACTGTCTATTTTTAACTATGTTCTGATTTGTGAGCTGTTGATTATGGTAGTATATATATTTGAATATCATAATAGGAAAATTCACGGTTTTCTCTTTACGTAGACATATTCTTTCATTTACCTTTGGGCACATTCTTTTGAGTTTTTTTACTCTTAAATTGATATAACACCTTAATTAGAATGATTTTTAGAGATTTAAGGTTAACTATTAGAATTTCATATACTAAATATGCATTTTAAAAAGTAGTCAAATCTTATAAATGGAATAAAGTGATACTTTCAAATGAGCTTCAAGAGAAAAGGAGTAAAAAGAGGTAGTAAAAGTTTTCACTGTCAACTCTAATAAAGGTATATAGGTTAAAAAGCAGACTTTGGGACTAACTTTTCTAAATACCAGCTTGCAAATTCACAAATGCATTCTTCTTTTGGGCCATGAACTTACTTATGGCTGACCTTCCAGTGGGTTTTCAGAGTCAGTGAATCACACAGGACATTGCTAATCTTTCTTCCACAGAGTGGCTGATGGATTAGAAGTACATGCCTTTTGGTTGGCAGCACAACTACTTACCATTAGCCCACTAGGGCCCCCTAATTCAACAATTATACCACCACCTTGGGAAGTAATAATCTATTTAAAACACATGCCAGAATTCTTCGTACATAGTAAATGGCCAAGAAAAGATGATGGTTAAATTCATAGTAATGAACAGTGCTCAGTTGACACTATGTAATTTCTGTAGCCTGAAATGTTGTTGTCATCATGTGCCCTTGAGGTGGCCATGACTCAAAGTGACCCTGTGCACAGTAGCTCTGATCCCTGATCTCTTCTGGGCCAGTTTCACTCTGACACACCTATCCTCATTACCCCAGTTACTGTATCAATCCATCTCATCTAAGGTCTTCCTGTCTTGCACTGTTGACCCTTCCAAGTTTGATGTCCTTCTCTAAGGACTGGTCTGTCCTGGCAGTATGCCCAACTATGTGAGACAGAGCCTTAAAATCCTTGCCTCCAAGGAACAGCTTGGCTTCACCCTCCCTAAGACAGACCTGTTAGTTCCCTTGGCAGTCCATGGTATGTGCTATACTCTTCTCCTATACTACAACTCAAAGGCATCAATTCTTCTGTCCTCTTTGGTCATTGTCCAGCTCTCTGATGTATAACAGGTAATTGTGAAGGCTGTGACCTGGATCAGGTGCATCTTGGTCTCTACACTGACATCGTTGCTCTGTAGCACTCTGGAGTGGTCTCTGGTAGCAGATTTTAATAATACAGTTCGTATTTTGATTTCCTAACTGCTGGAGGCGAGAGTGTTGGTTGTGAATCAAGCCAGCCTAGACACTTAGTATTGTGTAATTTGTTAATTATTTGTAAAACATACTATTTATGGAAGTGTTGAGGTATTATAACTATAATAATTATAATCATGTTGTTGTTGTTGTTGTTATGTGCCGTCGAGTCGCTTGTGACTCATAGAGATGTACGACAGCCCTAAACCCTGCTCTATTCTGTGCCAATCTCACTGCCTGTGACACACCCATCCCGATTACCCCGGTCACTGAATCAGTCCACCTCAAAGAGGGTCTTCCCCTTCTGCGCCGTCCCTCCACCCTCCCAAGTATGATGTCCCTCTCCAAGGACCTCTCCCTCCTTACAACATGTCCAAAGTATGTCAGACGAAGCCTCAGAATCCTTGTCTCCAAAGAGCAGCCTGGTTTAACCCTCTCTAGGATGAATCTGTTTGTTTTCTTGGCAGTCCAGGGTACATTGAATACTCTTCTCCAGCACCACAGCTCAAGGCATCAATTCTCCTTCTATCCTCCTTAGTCATTGTCCAACTCTCTGATGCATAACAAGTGATTAGCCTGTATCAGATGCACCTTAGTCTCCAGAGTGACACTATTGCTCTTCAGTACCCTGGAGAGGTCCCTAACAGCAGACTTTCCCCATACGTTTTTTTATTTCCTGGCTACTGGTGCCAAGGGTGTTGACCGTGGAGCCAAGCAGACTAAAGTTGTTAACAATCTCAATCTCTTCGCCATCCATCCTGATGCTGCCAATCATGTAGTTTATATTTTAATCTTTGTTGGAAAGATTGTATAATTTACCTTTTTTTAGGTGAGAAATTAAAATTCAGAAGCCCCACCCTTCAGTTTTATAAGTTTAGAAATAGTAAAGCTGAGTTTCAGTTCTGCATCTACCTGACTTCTAAAATCTATACTCTTAAGTGTATTCTAAACTCTCTATTCTTTGTTGCCACAATGCCTTTTCACACAGTGGTATTTGAATAAACCAGTATTAACTTAGTTTCCAATACTTTTTAGTCAACCCGAGTTACCCTGCCTTTTTCTTTGGTTCCTTGCTGTTTTTAATATATATGTGTGATTTGGGAAGGTAGAACATATGCTGTTGTTATGTATCTTTGAGTAGAAACCAACCCATAGCTGACCCTCTGGTGGGTTTTCAGAGGCAGTTAATCACGCAGGAGGAAATTATCCATCATTCTCCGTGGAGGAGCAGGTGAATTCAAACTGCCTGCCTTTGGGATTGCAACACAGCTTCTTACCACTGGGCCATCAAAGCTCCTCAGTATATATATATGATACAACATACATATATACTTTAAAAATAAGTGAAGCAAAATAAGATTGTGGGATATTGTTTTAAGTCATACTTTTATTTTTGCTTATATAATATGACCATACAATTCATGTACTTTTAAAATGTCATAGATAAAATATAACAGAATAACTATTTCTATGAAATATTTGATGACTTTAGATCACAATCGTATACATGCCACAGATGTCTTACATGCAGTTTGGTATCTGACCACACGGCCAATCCCTGGTTTTCAGCAGACCCAGAATGAGCGTGGAGCAGGAAATGAAGCAGGTACTTCTCTTTAGAAATCTTTTATTTCATTATTTGATTAGAAATAGTAAATAAAATAATCTAATTTTAGTAATACAGTTCTTTTAAAATTTTTATTAAGTAACCTTTGATATATGTAGGCTATGTTTCTAATAGGACAAATCTAGGTAATTGTTGACTTTGCATGTATATCTTTTGCTACTGTTTAAATATTTTTTAAACTTTAGGGTCAATATGGAATGGATGTAACGAAACAATTAGAAATTACTGGCTCAGATGTGAATAATTAAAGTATTATTTATTATTAGGAATTTGAATGTTTTAACTATATACTTAAGTATAGATATTGTGTGTGTGTAAGAGAGAGAGAGAGAAATTTATATTTAGAATTGCCAGCTTAGATGATTCCAGTTTTATTGACAACATCCAAAGTATCATAGTCAGGAACAAGTTGAACATAGCCCTACGAACCTTTACCACATCAGTGTCACAGAACTTCTTTACAGCTTGTTTGATTTGGTCCTTGTTGGCCTAGACATTCACAGTAAACACAGGCGTATGATTCTGTCTTCTTCATGGCTGACTCAGTGGTCAGGGGAACTTGATGATGGCATAGTGGTCAAGCTTGTTTCTCCTGGGGGTGCTCTTCTGGGGGTATTTGGGCTGCTGTAGGAGTCTCAGCTTCTTAGGCGGCCAGAAGGTGAGTGATTGTGGATCTTCTTTTGTGTGTGTGTGTGTCTGTTGATGCCCTTCAGGACTGCCTTCTTGCCTTTAACACCTTTGCTTTGGCTTAAGTTTTGGGAGGGGCAGGGACTTCCTTCTTCCCTTTTGGCACCATCTGCATAGAAAAGCTAAGTATTTTTTCAAATGTTTTATATACAACTAGTATAAGCAATCCTAAAACTCAATTAAGGTTCAAAATAGAATTTAAAGCATAAGAAAATGATGAGTTGCCTTTATAATTATTTTTTGTGTGCATTACCTATATTTAAAAAATTGAGGGATGGAAAATACTGAATTAATTGAATTATAATAAGAAATTACTTTGGATTTGAACAAACTAAGGTTGTTATTCCTAAATTCTAGTTGTGAATACAACCATTAGAATTTTATATCTTTCTAATCTTTGCTTAGTGTTTAAAAAGTTTCTTTCTTCTTTCTTATATGTTTCCTGAAATCCCTTGGGCAAAAATAATAGTGTGCCCATTTAACTAGATAATGTCACATACAGGAAAAGGAAGAAGTCAATCATAAGATTACTGAAAATGATAGTGTTTCTAAAGAGAGAATAAAGGTAGAGCTATGTTGGCTAGTGTATTTCTCAGGTTTCTGTGCCTCTTCGTGACATTATAAAGGGGTTCAGGGAAGTAAAAAAGCACTGTTCTTGTTGTTGTATATCATCAAGTTGGAACCAACCCATAGCTGACCCTCTGGGGAGTTTTTAGAGGCAGTAAATCAAATGGGAGGAGATTGCCTATACTTCTCTTATGGAACAGCTGGTGGAGTCAAACCACATGCCTTTGGAATTGCAGTAATCTTTCTGAAGAAAGTGTGAAATGCTTTCATGTTAAGAAACTTGATTTGTAGTATATTAAATTCTAAGTTTCTGTATTGCTTTTATAAAATTTTATTCTCTTTTTTTCTCTACTTCCTTTACCTTGGTCTTAAATCCAGCCATTTAATACCCTCTTTGTTGTTGTTGTGTACCATTAAGTTGAAGCCGATCCACAGCTGACCCTCCAGAGGGTTTTCAGAGGCAGTTAATTGCACAGGAGATTGCCCATCCTCCTTCTCCAGAGCTTCTGGTGGATTAAAACTCCATGCCTTCAGGATTGCTGTGCAGCTTCTTGCCACTAGGCAAATACTCTTAGAAAGATACTCTAAATACTCTTAGAAAGCAAATATTTGGAAGAAATTAAGTGAAGAGGGGGTGAATAATGTACGCTGCATTGAAACAGATGAGGGAAAGAACTGTTTACAAGGAATATATTATTAGGTATTATTTGCATAACAACAGTTCAGAATAAGAGCTGCATAGTAAAGTGGATGGAGAGGGGGAAGGAAATTGTGCAACAATGAGAGATTTTTTTTGAGAATTTTTTTAAAAGAGAAGAGTGAATGGGAGATAGGGAGTAAAATGTGCAACAGTGAATAAATGGAAATCATATTCTCTATAAACGTTCACTAAATCTCAAACTATTTTTAAAAAAGAAAGCAAATATTCAAAAAATAGTTTTATTTGTGTGTTGTCTCATTATGTGTAGTTTTGTTTTGTGTTGTGTTTTGTATTTAGTATGAGTAAAACAGCATTAGGCTGGCATGAGAATCCTGCCATACCCTGTAAAGTAAATGACTTCGGAGTCAGACTTCAAAGTAGTGTACTGTTTTAAATGCTTATTGCTAAGTAAGGGCAATTTCTTAAGTCAAAAACGCATAATCATATTCCCTCAGGGGAGCCTGTTGATTAGCATAATTGTGGGGAAGTTATGTGTTAATGCTGTGTCTTTTACTATTTATTGTTCTTCAGATGCTGATGGTAGAATGAATCCTGAGCGAATTGCTTACATTTCTTCAAAGAGCTGCTCGATTCCAGATGAGAGCTATGGCTGCCTGTCTTCAAACATTCCTGCACTGGAATTGATGGCTCTCTATGTGGCAGCTGCAATGCATGACTACGACCACCCAGGGCGCACAAATGCATTTCTAGTGGCTACAAATGCCCCTCAGGTAAGACATCCTTTTTCAGAAAGATGACATGTTAATATTGAAATTCTACAATCATGTTGCATATCTTTTTCTAAACCATTCTTTAACTGAGTTTCATGGACATTCCATCTAACTCCACAGCCCTAGCTGTGATTCTGATACCAGAATAGAGCAGTGCTCCATGGGCTTCTCAGAGGTAGAAGTGTTAATCACCAAGCATTTCTTCTGAGGTGCTGCTGGGTAGACTTGAATTGCCTTATGGTTAGTAGCTGAACATGTTAACTGTTGACCCCATCAAGAGATCCCTTCTAAGACCTTGCATTATAATTATGTGCAGAGAGCTGGAGTCAGAAAATCAAAAGGGCTGAACTTGCTCAGCGTTTCTTAAGCTGAAGGAGCTGAAAAACAAATTTAAGCCATGGGTGGCAATATTTAAGGATACTTTGGGCAGAATATTAAATGATCCAGTAAGTATCAAGAGAAGATGGAAGGAATACACAG